CAGACGTAGATTATTAATTGTCACTTATTTCGCGATCGGGTTGCTGCAAAGATGAAAGTTGAGGTGAAACAGCTTGAATAATTTAAATATATAAATTACATTCTCGCATATTTGTACATTCATTACAAATTCAAATTACGAGAACAAAAGACTTTCGCATGCGTTAATAAGTACGTCTGCATGAGAATTACATGCAAGAGCAACTGCAGAAAGAGGCGTTCCTTAGCAAATGCATTTTCCAGCAAATATTCTCGGTTTTGCGGTCGCCGCGACCGGCCACGTTAAACGCTTCCTATCCCCTCGAAAATAACAATGGATACGAAAATACGCGCCGCGTATGCTGCGACAATGGTCGTTATGCTAATACGACGATGGCGCTTCGACGGGGGAAAATTTCGCGCGCAAGATTTATGAGTCCGAGGACGAGCGTGGTTACGTGCCGAATCCGTCGTTTCGTCCGATTGTCGTCACTCGCAGGCAAGTGTAGACAACGAGCACCGACGAGCTTGCGACAAAGAGAACTCCCGGCGAAGTGGTCTTGTAAATTGCAGGTAGCCGAGGGAGTTTGTGACCCCTAGGATAATCCTGCGGTAACGCTGTTGTGATTTGCGATTACTCGAGTGCATTCGATGTCGCCGTTTCGCTGCGAATCGCACAGGAAATGTCGCCGGCTTTAAGGATAAAACCCCGAGAGAAGAATATACTTATTCTTCAATATATGCGTTAAGCCACGAATCTTATACAAAAAAACTAACTAAAATCGCCTAGAATATTTCTTATTTTGTTGATTAATTTCTTTTATGTAAGGAAATATAAATTAATTAATTGCTTTTTCATGTAATTGAACAATCTAGCATTATTGAGTTTTTTTTTCGAGTATTTGTATTCTAAAGACTATTTACATACTTTATACTGTACACTTTAAAACGCAAATTACATAGGCAAATGATTTCTTAATGTTCTTCGGCGAAATGTTATGTATAAGAAGACTAACTTCTCTTAATTGCCTTTAAGTGACTAAAACGATTCATTTAAATCACCTTCAACTGCTGATGTCATCTGCGACAAATATTTCCTGCTTGCGTCAAAGCCAATAGTTCCAAAATGACCTATTTCCACTATCGACACTTTAGTGTATAATTAATTGAAATAGATTTGCCGTTAAATTTGATGTACGGCGAAGTCGTCCACGAAAATCCACTCGCTGGTTAAACGATAATCATCCGCTTCGTTGCAGTCACGAAAGCTGGAATGAAATAGTAGAAAGCAATTCCATTAAATATTTTCTTTCGATGCGCCACGCTTCGATCGCCGCAAGTGCCAATAACTTTTAGTTAAAGTGCAATGACCTCGAAGTTACTAAATTTACTACATTTTATCATCACCTGCATTATGTAACGCACACACTGCGCATATCGATAACGCATCGAGACTTTCCGGGTTGTTTTTATCAAAATTATATTCATTTGCAAAAACTTTCTCTCGAAAATGAAAATACGCAAGAGATTACGAGATTATTTCGACGCGAGATCCATTATTTAATTTTTATGAAAGTGAATTTTCACATGCGTTTAATTTCTGCTATTAAGCATTCTTAAATATTGATTTGAAAATGTGTTTGGAGATAATTCAATTGAATATTTCAAACAAATTTTTAAAAACCGCGATATTCATATGCGCCACATATGTCAATCGTCAGTATTTACGTTTAAATGAACCGTGAGGAACGGCGGCAGGCTGGGAGGTGGTTTAAAAACCAATGCGAACAAAAGAGAAATATCTGCGACGTGCAGGAAGGAGACCTGACTTATTCAGAAGCGATTGTTTACGACGGAGTAAGCCCACTCAAGGTCTCGCTGCACGTCGGCTTTTATCAGCGGCGCGGACAAGCATTAGCCCGATTAATCCGTGAGTGTCGCGCTACGAGCGTCGCGCTCGAATAAAATATTGAATCATCGCGTTTCTCTCCTTTTTTTTTCTTTTTTTTTTTTTTT